AGTGGCGGTGGCCAATGCCAACCCTCCTTTGAAGGAAGTGCAGTCCAGGTGTAAACAAGTGCACGGCAATCCTTTCCTGAGGAGGCTCTGCTGCTGCTTGGCATTCTGAGAATCAGGGCACAGAGAGAATTCCAAATTGTTGACAGTGGCACCTTCCCACTGCAGTCGTTTAGCCTGGATCCCTATCTGAATAACTTACATTTGCACAATACTTACAGACTTGTTCAAAGCACTTTTGTAATTATTATTTTGTTGGATGGGCTCCATCGCGAGCCCCCGATGGAAGTGCTATCACCCGGCGTGGCGTGCGGAAAGAGAGGCCCAGAAAGGCCCAGGATTCCAGCAGCCAAGTGGGTAGCTGAGTCAAGGTTGGAGGCCCTCTGGGTCTGCCCAGAAATCCGGTGGACTTTCCCTTCTTCCCCTCACACCACGAGCCTCTCACCATGTGACCACTGGAGTTGTCCACACACAAACACACACACACACACACACGCACACACATGCTCATAGCTGCAGGGTCTCGCCCCTGCTTACAGCCAAGACAATTGCCCCACTGCTTACCTATTTGCTTCTCTCTCTACGACCTGGTGCTGTGACCCAACCTTGTCTTTCACTTGAAAGCCATCGCCCCCGAGATTCCTACCCTGACACAGTATTTATATGGCACTAAGTTGGAAACAACTCAAGTGCCCGATGATAGTGACACAGTGAATCCGTAGAACACTGGAAAACACAGCAAAGACAGGTCCGAGCGGTGTCTGCATGTGGCGATGTGTTTTTGAAATACTGTAATCTGATCAAAGCCGAACACAAAGCGACATGCCTACTCCTCACAGGTATGTAAACATGAGCTCCTGCAAACTGATAAGAATGAGAGTGAACTCTGAAAGATGTAAAGGGATTTTTATCTTCACAGCTTTTTCCTTCCCGTCAGGATCATATTCAAAATGATAATAAAAAGTAAAATAAATAATAAATAGGACCATAATAAGCAGGGGGGCCGGCAGAGAAGGGGTTGTTCTCTGCCCTGGCGGACCGTACCTTCTCAAAGGGGCCAGAACTGCAGAGGAGAAGCTGTGACGAACCTCAGTGGGAAGTGGCCTGCCGGGGGAGGCAGCACCCAGACCTGGGGCGGGTACAGCTGGGAGTCTTGCCCCTGGCTGTCCCTCAAGGCCAGCAGGGCAGATGAGCAAAGGCGAACCAGAGCACCCTTCACACCAGTCACAATGCCAGCGGCACACCCAGAGGTGTTCAGTATGGCAGTTCTGGGACAGAAAGAAGAAGGGCTGGGGCTGGTGCGCTGGAGGTAGAGCATGGAGCTGTTCACCTGCCTTCATGCTCCTGTTATCACTCAGCGATCTTTCTGCCCCTTTCATTCAGAGAGCTGGAGCGAGGCCTGGCCCTCGGGAGCTGAAGGGTGTGCTGTGGTGGGGTGCCAGACAGGCAGGGAGCAGGTGGGTGCAAAAGGTGCCATCCCAGGGTAGCTTAGGTCTCGAGGGACAGTGCATTTCACAGACACATCAACCTCAACATTTCTTAAGCTGACTCCACAGCCCCTTATCTCAGCAGCCCCTCCACCCAGACCTGCTTCTCCTCCCATGTTCCCCGTTCCCGTGGATGTCGCCGCCATCCACCCGCAGCTCACCAGGCTCTGGAGGACCTGGCTCCAGCTCTCATTCCACCCTACTTTGCACCCTATGTCCCACCGCACTGAAATATTCACTGCTTGTGTAACATGCCAAGCTGTTTCATTTCCCTGGCTTTTCGCGGCTGTTCCATCAGCCTGGACCCCTTCCCTGCCTGGTGCAGCAGCTTATCTGTCAAGAGTCAGCTCATCTCCCTCCATGAAGCCTTTCTGGCTCATTCCCTAACTCCTAACTGCCCACCCCCCACATCTGTCCCCAGGTAGAGACCACACATCACCAGTCACTGTAGTGCCAACATCTAGCGCTGCTCCTGGCACGTCTTCAGCCGTGAATGTATACTTCATGGATTAAAAAACAGATGAATGAATGTAGGGGACAGCCTTTAGAATGGACAGAATTTTGAATTTGATTCACCAGATCAAGCCCGGGGGTGGCTCCCGGCGTCACCACATTTCTGGTGACAGCATCTCCCAAGTCAGGCTGCCCCTTCTAGAGCAGGTCCCCACTAGTGTCCAGGGCCTTTGGAGATTCTCTCCCTAACCCCCCACCCCCGCCAACACAGCAGGAGCACCTGTCCTTTGGTTCCTGTTCTTCTCAAACACCGGCTCCTGGTTGTGCCGTCTATGGGTGAGTCGCGCTGTTTGGGGGAGTGGGACCTGATTCCCCCGTGACTATTCACCCCGTCTACTGGGAGATGGGAGGTGGGCTGAAGGTGCCTGTGGGAGCCGACCCCCTGACTGAGCCATGAAGGGCCACTGGGGAGTGGTGGGGAATCTACAATGGTTCTTACCGCTATCACATCATCACAGGCTCTGGCCAGGTGAGCTCTTTGATCTTCAGCCACACATTGTGTGTGTGTGGGGGGGGAGAGATGGCAACCACCCACGTCCTCTGCAGCAGACTGGTTTCCAGGAATGCCCTAGGCCCTGGCCCGACATGAATCACATAGGGCCGCCTTTCCATCAGGACAGGGAGCACTGCCCCTCCTCATTTCCAGTCTAAGCTCCCCAGCTGCCCTAGTCTAAGTCTCCCTAGTCTCCCCTTGAGCCAGGCACACAGGTAAGTGGGGTTGGGCCTGCTGGTCTCCTTCTTGGCTCAAACTGTTAAGGGGCCTCCTCCTTTAGACCTGGCCCTGTGTTCACCATCCTCAGCAGCAGCGAGAGCCAGTTCTGTGAGCCCCACGGCAGGGAAAATGTGCTGCTTTCGTTCAGGAGGAGTAAAAGAGAGCTTCGGCTCTAGGAATCTCAGTCTGAACGCTAATACGCATGGCAGAACTGGGGGACTAAGAGATAAAGCTCTCGGATAATAGGAGTTTTAAAAAGCAAATCCCAAAGACAGGCGCAAAGCAAATTAAAACAGAAAACCACCTATCCTGACTCTCATGTCTTCCTGTTCAAGGTGTGTAGAGTTTTTACCTCTGTTCCAACTGGCTCTGCCTCTGTTCTTGGAGCCAGCAGCTCTGATGCCTGGACTCTGAAGAGTCTGGATAAACCCGTGGGAAGAAACTACTTCAAGCAAAGAGGTCTGGGTGGGCAGGTGTGGCCCCCGGCCCCAGCTGGGAGATGAGCAGGAAGGTGCCAGCCTGCTGTCCGTATGCACGAGCCTGGGCTCTGGATCCCCTCAGCCCATTCTGCTACTGGAATGTCCCTGGGAGGTAATTCAGGAAGTCTGAAAGAGTGGGGAGATGAAGAAATCCTAGTAGCTAAACACCAGGATCTACAGAAGTGTGCATCCGTCCAGGCCATTCTACAGCATATTTCAAACGTATGACTCAGGGGTATGGGTGATAGGTCCGTGGGTTCCTCTGACAGGACTTCTGGGGCACCAGAGGCAAGTATTTCACACTCTTTGCAACCCTGAACACAAACAGTGTGTGTTGGGAGGGAATGGGGATGTCAGTTTATTTCTTGAAAGAGTTAACTCTGGTAGGTTCCTGAATATAGAAAGGTGGGCTGGGTGATGGGCGCTGGGAGGAGGGATTTAGGAAGAAAAGGGCACAAGGGAGACTTGAATTACTCAGCACAGAAGAGACAAATCCAGCTTCCCAGAATCAGTCAAGTTGGGAAGGTGAGGCAGAGGGATGGAAAGGAAGTAACAGGACAGTGGGTCAGGGAGCTCTCTGGGGTGGCATGGCCAGCAAGAAACTCTGGGTGACCAGAAAGCCAAAAAAACCTTTTCAGAACATTGCGGAATGTAATTTTAAATTGTTTTCTGGCTGACGTAATCTCTCCCGTGGCCCACAAACCTTCATTAAAAGTTCTGCTACATGTTACAGCATTATTTTTGCAGTTGTTTTGAAATAGGGGTGGGGGTTGAAAGGAGAGGGGGTAATGGCCCATATTGAACGAGCACGAGCTAAAGAAACAGCCACAGACCAACGAATAAAACTTCGTATGAGACAGCAGACTGGAGCCAGAGGGAATCAGGGAAGTCTCCATTCCGCTCACTCCTCCCATCATCTACAGAACTCCCGAGGAGGGCGCTGGACTTTCCAAAGGACATGGGAGCTCCAGCCAATGTCACTGGACTCTCAAAGGACAAGCCACCGCAGCTGACATCAGGTTACAAACAGGTTTTGCCTTTGCAGCTCCACTCAGCCTTACAAAACAAACTCTCCCATGGCACCTTTACCGTGTGGGGCCTTAACACGGCGAGGCACATAGCAGGCCCCAGCAGAGCACCGGGGTGGCTTGTGAAGGCCTGGGCACTCGGCTGGGAGCCAGCAGAGTCTAATGCTTGGGGGGGGAGGCGAAGGATAGAGGAGAATAGCCATTTTCACTCCTACCCTTTATCTTCCCACCCATTAGCCCCATCCCAAAGGCCAGATAACATTAATTCTGTGGGCAGAAGGTCTTGCAAACAGGCAAGGCACAAAGGAGATAGTGGTGGAGAAGGTCACAAAGGGTTGAGCAGGAACACGCTGCTCCGTGTCTGTTCTGCCCACCCTTCTAGAGTCAAGGACCCTTCTAAAGTCAAGCGGGCCCCTTGGGCAGGGGCTCTGGGCCCAAGGGCCTGGGGTGGGGGCAGCGAGCATGGGGCTGTCTCAGGCCCCACATGTTTCCTAGGATCGGCTGTCCAGTGACTCGTGTGTGACTCTGGCTTTTGCTCCCAGGTTTTCCCCTTAGGCTCTTGTGAGGTCTTGCTGGGCACCCCACAGGTCAAGGGCACCCCACAAGTCAAGGCCTCCCTCAGCGGCGCGGCATCCTTGTGGGGCCCGCGCGCCGCTAACAGGGCCGATGGCGCCACCTGGTGGCATAAACGTGCCTGCGCAGCCCGGGAGTTTCCCCAGCGAGCGGGGAAGCTGAAGGGGTGGCTTCGGCGGCGCAGGCCAGCGTGGTGACGTCACGACAAAGCGCCGTTTCGCTCCGCCTCTTCTCCCGCCCCGGAGCTGCCAGTACTTGACGTGGCGTCACCTCCCTCTGCCCTTACTTTGCGTGCGTGTTTGCGTGCGGCGGAGGTGGCGGCGCGGGCCGGTCCGAGCTCCGCGCTGCTGCTTGGGGCGCTCCCGGGGCGGCCGTCGCTGTCCGGTGTCTTGGGCTGGCGGGCGGGCCCGGCGCGGGCCCCAGCACCTCAGCGTCGGACGCGGCCGGGCGCGGGGCCCGGCGGGAGGGTGGGCGAGCGCGTGTTGGAGGGCGCCGCGCGGGCGGGCGCCCGTGAGGCAGAGAGGCGGGGGCGGCGGGTCGGCCGCGGGCCGGGCCGGCCGGGGGATGTCGATGCCTGACGCGATGCCGCTGCCCGGGGTCGGGGAGGAGCTGAAGCAGGCCAAGGAGATTGAGGACGCCGAGAAGTACTCCTTCATGGCCACCGTCACCAAGGCTCCCAAGAAGGTGCGGGGGCTCCGGGAGGCGGCGGGGGCCCGGGCTGGGGCCTCCGGGAAGGGGCGCGAGCGAGCCCGGGGCCGGGCTGCAGCTGCTTGGGGGCTGAGGGGGCGAGGTCGGGGGGGATCCGCCGCGACGGAGGTGGCCTGAGGGGTCGGGGGAGCGGCCCCAGGCCCATCCTGAGCTGGGAAGGCCGCCCCTGACCTCACTTTCCTTTGTCCCTCGGACCTGCTCCCCAGGATCTTGTTGAAACCCGACATGGCCAGGCCTCAAATTTGCAGCTGACTTTCCCTGGGTGAAGGGCCTTGAAGGTGGGGGGGGAGTGGAAGGGGGTACACCTACTCAGCTGACCCCGGTCACCAGCCCCAGGGAGTGGGGGCGAACGGAAGATCTCCCCCACAGAGGAGTGGGGAAATCTGGCAGCGCTTCTCAAGGCATATCTTTGGGAGCAGTGGCCCGTTAATCCAACAACTGCGTTCTGCCCCGAGGCAGGAGGAAAAATGCGTGCTCGCTCTCGCACAGGTGAAAGCAAGAAGGGCAGCAGGAAATGGAAAACTATGACTTTCACTGTCTACGACAATCCAGTTGATTCGCATATGTAGGGAATTAGCATTTGGAGTTTGGTGGCAGCACACACTGTCATGGATACAGGTTGATCGTAGAGTCGTGTGAACAGATCTCAGGCATCCTTGAGAAAGGAGCTTGGGTGGGTTGAAGGGGTGGGTGGCAAGGAACGATTGCTCATTCTTTGCCGCACTTAGTGAGGCAGAACAAGTTAGTCTATTGTGCTGTAGGTTGAGCTCAAAGGACACCCTTCGCCTTCTCTTGTGGAAGATTAAATGGCAACCGTTGGAGGTTTTAGTCGAACTAGCTCTCTCAGTGGCGGAATTGGGATCCCTAATGCTTTCGAGCGTTTGCTGCCAACCACAATCTTGACTTTCCACATACCTGGCACCTAGTTAACAGTGGACCGAATAACCTTTGCAGAGAGGTGATCTTCCTCAAACCAATGAGAACGTGGATAAATATTTCCCTCCTGTTTAAAAACAGTGTTTCGAGGCCGTCTCTGTCTGAAGTGCTTGTAGAAGCTGAAGGAAGCAGGGTTTGCAGAAATAGCTAGTCCTGGAAGCTTTCACACCTGAGCTAGTTAAGCTATCATAAGTGGGAGAGATGGCTTTAAAAAAAAAAATGAACGTATCACTCCAGAAATCCAATGCAGGATTGGAACACAGGTCACCATTGCATGTTGTGCACTTTCACTCTCTTTTCCCACCGATTTAGGACTTTACCAATAGAATGCCTTTAAATGGGTGTGGCAGATCCCCTGATTCTAAAGAGTCTGGGTAACCTTATTTTCAGTGCTCTCAGTTCAGCTGACTGTTTTATTGGGGGGCAGTAACTCTTTGTAATTTGCGCTATTTAGTATCACAGCCCTTACCAGCAGATTGCTTAAGGGTAGCACTGTGAGGAGTGAGGGGCAAGAATGGGAAAGACATAGTACTCTAATTTTCTGGACTCTTCTCTCCCCATTAGCCTAACCTCTTTTTGTCTAGTTGCTACAGGGATTAGACATCTTTATTCTCACTGCCTTCATTTTACTAAGCCTTTATGCTTCCAAGTACAACTATTACTAAGACAAAGTTTGTACTCTAGGTTAATTCCATAAAGGCAGGGATTTTTGTTCACTCTTGTATCCATTGTGCCAAGCTCTGTACCCTCCTTTTAGTAGGTGCTCAAATATTAATTGCCCACCTGGCTAACTTATTATTGAAATGTCTGTGTGGTTGCCTACCAGGAAGAAATATCCCTCTCCTCGTTTCTTCCCAGGAGGAGTATTGCTAATGTATATTGTTGTCAGGCCAAGTGCTAATGATTTTAGAGACTCATATGCCATTAGTTTGAAAGTAGTAGTCTGCCAGGAATGTGGGAAGACCCTGCTGTAAGTTTCCATTTGCTGGTAAATGTACCCCAGTGTTTCTTATTAATCTTGTTCTTTTTGGACTTTACTTTTTAGCATTTACACAGGACTTTCTATTAAAGTGCTGTGTGATGACTAATTACCCTTACCCTCGTGACAATTAAAAAAACCATTTATTTAGTTAATGAGTCGGTTGAGGACTAGTCAAGGTCACATAGCAAGTCCCAGGTGATCCATGTTTTCAGAACGTCAGTTGAATTGGATGTTATGACTTAAATCACTTTTGTATCTCTGCCATGTGTTGAAAATGTGAGAAAGCATGAAACAAGTAAAAGGGAAAAATGTAACATGGCATGTACTGAATGGCGTGGGAGAAAGACTTTTTCAGATGGTGCTGTCCTTTACCTTAAGGATTCCAGTCTGGATCTAAACCAAATAATCCTTGGATCCTTCCAAGCCCTGAAGTCCCTCAGGAAAATGAAGATATTTCTGGTGTCGTTTTTGAGGCTGTAGGTTACTTCAGGGTGACCTTGATGGTCCTCAGATCAGATTGCAATGTAACTGGTGAAATTTTACTTGTTTTGTTTGGAACAGAGTGGATGTCTGGCCATTAAAAGCATAGATGTCTAGATTCTTCAACTGCAATTGTAACTTACTTGGGTCTGTAAACTCCAGAGTCTCCCACAGTGTTAAGGGGTAGGTAGAGGGCTGACTGGATTGATTGAAGGCTTTATCTGTGTGTCTGAGACAGCTGAATGCCTACCACCTTAAGCCGGTTAGTCTCTGCCTTAGTTTCCTCATCTGCCAAATAAGTGCTTTCTGTTTGGAATGGGTGCGCGTAGGCAACTAAAATAGCTAAATGGTTTTAAAAAGAATATTACTAGTGTACTTAACAAACACTCTTCTTTGTAATGAGCATTTGAAATCACTTAAAATGCAGGATACATACACTGTAGATAAGGAAGGCAATATATAGAAAGAAGGGAAAAAATACCACTAACCCTGAGAGCAAAGGCAATTGAAACTGATCACCAAATAAAACTCTTAAGCTTTTCTAGAATAAAAAGGAATCACAGAATTACAGTCTCATTTGCAGACATGGAAAATAATATCAATTTTTCAAAGAAGACAACTTTTGCTGACATTAAGTTGTAAAGGGAATTTTTGTGAGGCGGCATTAATTGCTGTAGTATGATTCACATGGTTCACAGCTTGTCTCGACTGATGATTTCAGGTAGTATTACCGGGAAAATTTGAGTGAGAAAGAGTCTTTTAGTTGTAAGGATAGTGTACATCGTGCCACACGGAGGATCCTTGTTTAATGTTGGCAGTTATTAGCTAAACCACATAAATAAGTTAGCTGTTTCCCCATAATCATTGGGTTTTTATCCCCTTTTTCCTGCTTTGTGATGAATGGGGTAATCATTGTCTCTGGGTCTTTGGAAATTGACATTGTATCAAGCTGATGTATTTTTTCACAGCTAAACCAAAATCTCTAGCTTATTGATGAAACCTCCGAAAACAGACATTTCTTTGAAAGACCTATCAGAACCTTCGCTGTTCTTTGCCGTTCTGAACATTTGATGGGACTTTGTGGCGTGATATATTAAGCATTTCACCTGGGATCTGTGTGGTCAGCTTTATCACCAGTACAACAGGGAAAGGAGAAAGGGGACACAAAAAACTACTTTGTTTATAAGATATTCTTCATTTGAATAAAGTATGTATAGCACCAATACATCAAAAGGGTCAGCTGATACCCAGGAAGCATATACCAGTGAGTACTGCTTGGAGGTTAACCTGATAGGTGGAATCCAGGATGCTGTTCTTCTCATCGGGATTGTCTTATGGCTCTGTTTTGTTGCATTTTTATAGAATTTATACCTATGCTACTTAGATTCACTGAGAAGAGATTTATTTGGTTGCTATTTCTTGTCATCTCTTCATTTATGTCTGTTGATTCTCTTTAGAGCAACTATTGTATTAGTGGAAGTCTGATCAGGAGTCAGGAATTAAGGTGATGCTATTGTTTTTTAGATTTCTCCACAGATGCTGATCACCTCTTATTTGAGTCTGTTTACTTAGTTTGACACTGACTTGTGTCTTAAGCTTATCAGAGAGGAGTACTCATTGTCTAGATCCCATGCTGACAAGATAACAACCTGTGTACCTTTTGCTTTATCAGGAAACTATTTTTTTGGATCCAGTGTGTTTTACTGAATGTACTATTCTTGTGAAGTTGTTTTTAAGTGGTATTTTTGTACACAGAATCTTGTAGGTCTTTGATTGCCTGGGACTCCTCAAAATTTACTCCGCTACTTCCAATAAGATTTGGGAATTTGAATATTAAAATCTTACAAAGGGCCACCTTTATTATACTGGCTATAATAATTCAGAGCACATCATATTGAAGTGGGAGTGCAGCATCCCCATCTGTGTGAAGACCAACACATTTGCATAGACCAGAGTTTTTCCCAACCTGAAATTCAACAATCAAGGTACAGGTTCTTACCAAAAAATTTCCTTCTGATTCTTGTCGACACTCAAGTGTCTTGTATATAGTAAGTAGTTAAAAGTTCACGTAGAATTTCAGTCAGCTTTTTGTTTTTCTGATTCTATATTTTCCTTTGACTCATTCAGGTAGTTCTCATGCTGTCTCGCTCTTGCTGGAGCGTTGCTCGGGGCCTCTTTGACTTCTCTTTTCTATTCCTAAAACTGAGTAGTAGAGTGTAAGTTAAGAACTTGTTTTGTGGCATCAGGGATACCTGCAGTCTCTATCATCTCAAAGCTGTGTGACTTTCAAAGAGTGCTATATCCTGGTTTGCCTAGTCCAATTCTGGTTTATACCTGTTATCCCACCATGCTATTCAGTGAGTGCCTCCTTAAATGCTGAAAAGTTCCTTGGTTTATATCAGATTTTGAAACAGTCTTTTTTTTTTTTTGGTGGGACCCTCGCCAGCGGCCGGGAAACAAACCGGTGCTGCAGAGGCTGCAGGCAGGCCTCGCAGCCCAGCGCTCAACCGCTGTGCCACCAGGGGAGGCCCGAAACATTCTTTTTATTTTTTTTTAAAGATTTATTTATGCATTCAAG